ACAGGTCCTATCTCCGTTATTATTATTATTATTATTATTATTATTTCCTTTGATTTCTGATGTATTCTCATTTCTTTCCGGGTCCCAATCAGAGACCTAAGGTCAGAGATGTCATCATGACATTTTCCACTGCGCATCTTTTGAGGAAAAAATATAAACGTAAGATCACGCATATTTTACATAGATAAAGCACTTGGTTAAGCGTGGGTTGTACTTTTGAGAACACTTTTTTGTATTTCTTTAAGGCTTGGGCTACTAGGAATGCTTTCAATGAGTCTGTTAGAATTTTTCTCAACCAATCCGAGGGCTCCAACTACAACTGGAATTACTGATGTCCACATGTGCCACATTTATGAGATTTCGTTTTTATGGTCCTTGTATTTTAAGAATTTTTTGAATACCTTCAAAGATACATTAGAGTCTGCAAGGACTGCCATATCAATAAGAAGGCAAATTTTATTTTTGCGCTCTCTGATCACGATGTCTGGGAGATTAGCTTTGATTGTTCTGTCTGTGGGTATTGTAAAATACCATAGAATTGTTACAGGTACTATCTCTGTAACCGGGTCTGGGTGGTGTTCATACCAATTTCTTGCGGTTGACTTTCCGTAAAAGTTGCAGTTTTTCCATGTGGTCGCGCTCATCTTGAAATTTTTCGTTAGTTGATTAGTTAGTAAGAGCCATTAATCAAATAGTTTGTTTATTCCCCGGGGTGGGACGTTTGTAGTTTGCATATGGAATTATCTTCAAGGTAGATTTTTTTAAGGTGGATTCTGGATATCATCATCATCATCATCATCATCATCATCATCATCATCATCATCATTCTTCTTCTTCTTATTATTATTATTATTATTAGCATAAAAATAAACTTAACTATTAAAACTGATTTTTTTCAGAATTTTGCGCGTACACATCTTAGAAAAAATGCTCAAAGGAAAACTGCATAAGGAACCAGTTTTCATTAAAAACAAAACAAACCACAAAACCCAAAAACACAAAGGTTATATTTTTAAAAGCCGTATTCTGTGTGGACTTTTAAACTAGCTTCTGTGGAGGGCTGATTGGGTTTCCGGCCCAAAACTAAATGGACCTCAGGTCCATTTAAAAAAAAGCAATGATAATTTTGAATAAATAACTTTGACTTCCTCAGTTCACTCCATCAAAAAACAAAACCTCACTTTCTGATTCGGACTACAAGTCTAATTCCGGCCAAAAGACCGATTTAGGCCGAAATTCCAATTCAAACCGAAAACTGAGTTCTTCAAATCACAAACTGTGCGAAACTTCAAAACCTCACGTAACGAATCCTTTCACTTTAACTCTGACCTCTTGGCATTTTGAAGAAATAAAATTGATTTCCTCTATTCACAAAATTTTGGAGATATTTTAAACTGAATTTAAAACTTTTTTTTTAAAAATTCACAAAGCTTTTGTGTTACTTTAAACTCAATATAAATTAAAACTTTTTTTTTTTTTAGTTATTTTAAAATTTGAATTTTTAACTGTTCCCTCCTCATCCGGACACAAATCCCAATGCAGGATGTTCAAACACCAGATGAAGGGCAGATTTTCAATTACGGTATCATCCTAAATCCAAAAACGTATATTTGTCTACGTAGAGTAATTATGGCCCGAGTTAGAGGGCTTTTAGACATACGGACAGACAGACAGAATTTGCTGTTTATTTATTGAGATTTTAGATTTTATTATTTTTTCAGCAGTATAATACTCGCCCACATGATGTCCGTGATACTCAACATGCTTGGCAAGATGGACAGGCCTATTTCTCATTGATCATGTACCATCGTATGGCTGCGAAAGTATAGGTGTCTATTAACGTCTAAAGAGGACATAGAGTTTATTATTATGGAGTCTAAGTTCTGTTGATACAGCTCTTCGTTTGTAATCTGTGCTCGTTTTAATCTTTATATGTGATTATACATAATTTGGATCATGATAATGTGGGAGCTATTCACCAACGTCCTTGGAGGCTCACAAGTACTACCTCTCATTGAAAATGCGTGACACTTGACACATTCAGTTATCCCTACAACTTTTGCAGCATCGCATTAACAAGCTCCGAATAATCAATCGCAGAATTGTAGTCGCCAACTGTACAATCGTATGCATGCAAGATTAGAGGCCTGTGTTAAGAGCCAAGGAAGATATAGAGCAAATAATCATGGACTCATGAATACTGTTGATATACACTTTATTTTAGAACCTGTGCATGTATTGATCTGAATATTTGATTATTTACTGTAATCTAGCATTCTTAGCAGTATATTCAATACTGAATAAATCGAAACGCATTCAGGGTGCTGTAATTTTATTTTCAGTCAGATGAAATTCTTCCGTCGAGAACGACGGATGAGAGTTCAGTAAATTTTTTTTTCATTAAAAACCTGCACAAGCGAACTGCTGAATGTAGTCAATTACCTGTGCCTTGCCATGCTTATTCACTCCATCATAGCACCATGTTTTGTACTAGTGATATGTAAAAATGTGCAAATGATACTAAAATGGCAGGCTTTTTGGAGAGCTGCATGCTGGCCGTTGGCTCCTATAAAAAGTTTGGATTCGGAGATTTCCTTTTTCTGCACTGGTTGCTAACTAAGGCTATAGGGTCTCTAACCAAGGCTATAGAGCCTCTCTAACCAAGGCTACAGAGTCTCTTTATCCAAGGCTATAGAGTCTCTCCTACGATTTAACCATAGTTTGGGGAAAATAGAAGTATTAATACGCGTATTTACGCGTAGGTGAATGCATCAAACTTGATTGGAATTCGAACGCAGCTCTCCGATTTCTTATTCCGAGATGTTATCCATTACACCACCCACGCATCCAATCACACAGGATCTGATGTGATGTGATGTGTTATAGTGTAGATAGGTTATAACAGTTTGAAATGCATACACATACACAAACGTTTTGGATGTAATGTGGATTTTTTTTAAATATGTAGGAATTTCAAGACATTTGTGTCACTAACACACAAAAAAGAATGTTTAACATCGAAAAACATAAGAAAATTTAATTCCTTTTAATAATATGTGGAAATATCCACTCTTTGCTTGATGAAGATTGCGAGACCGGAAACCCGTGTAGCAAAACTATGGAAAATAAGGCATAATATATATTTTTTAAAAAATCCAGATTACAACTAAAAGCGTTTCCGGTTTCTCTTCTTTGTAATTATATATATATATATATATATATATATATATATATATATATATATATATATATATATATATATATATATATATATATATGCATTGAGGACAACAACAGGTTGCAACAGTGTGTTTAATGCTTAAACACAATTTTGAAATCATATATATATACATAGTTTTTTCATTTGGCCGACTTTGTGTTGGTAGAGTTCGATTTAGAAGTTTTACCAATACTTAACGTTTATATATATATATATATATATATATATATATATTGACCACTAATTTATCACTATTCTCTCTCTCTCTCTCTCTCTATATATATATATATATATATATATATATATATATATATATATATAGAGAGAGAGAGAGAGAGAGAGAGAGAGTGATAATATCAGTGGTCAATATATATATATATATAAAAAGGTCCAAACAATAATATTCCATGGTTATAATTTATTACATTGGAATCGTAATCACGATTCAATTCATCAGACCTACAAATTCAAAAACTGAATTTGTAGGTCTGATGAATTGATTGTGATTACGATTCCAATGTAATAAATTATAAACTATGGAATATTAGTGTCTGAGCTTTTTATATATATATATATATATATATATATATATATGACCACTAATATTATCTCTCTCTCTCTCTCTCTCTCTCTCTCTATATATATATATATATATATATATATATATATATATATATATTATTTTCAACATCATCACTTGATAAGACACAGAGTCTGTTGAAACAAAATGGCTATTTTTGTAGTGATTTTATAACATACTTATGTTATAATTTTTTTATAAAATAATTATATATATATATATATATATATATAGAGAGAGAGAGAGTGATAATATCAGTGGTCAATATATATATATATATAATAAAAAAGGTCAAACAATAATATTCCATGGTTATAATTTATTACATTGGAATCGTAATCACGTCAATTCATCAGACCTACAAATTCAAAACTGAATTTGTAGGTCTGATGAATTGATTGTGATTATGATTCCAATGTAATAAATTATAACCATGGAATATAGTGTTGAGCCTTTTATATTATATATATATATATATATATATATATATATATATTGACCACTAATATTATCTCTCTCTCTCTCTCTCTCTCTATATATATATATATATATATATATATATATATATATATATTTTATTTTCAACATCATCACTTGATAAGACACAGAGTCTGTTGAAACAAAATGGCTATTTTTGTAGTGATTTTATAACATACTTATGTTATAATTTTTTTTATAAAAATAATTATATATATATATATATATATATATATAGAGAGAGAGAGAGAGAGAGAAAGAGATGATAATATTAGTGGTCAATATATATATATATATATATATATATATATATATATATATATATATATATATTCCAACAAGATGGAATACTAGTTTACTATTGGTAAAGCTTCCAAATAGAACTCTATCAACATAAAGCCTGCTAAATGAAAAAAAAAAAAAAAACTTGAAACAAAATAAGAAAAAATAATAACAGCACATAAAAAAATGACAGAAGGAAAAGGAGACATAAAGAGTTCAGGGAAGACAGTGGGGCTGACACAAAATGATTTTAACCTGTTCCTTTTCTAGCTGAATGACTCGAAGGGTTTTTCAGTGATTTTTATGTCAAATGGTGTCAAGATGGCTAAACGTCTTATCTGAAAACCTGTTCATAATAATGCCTACAGCAAATGAAACAAGACAAAACAGTAATATTTTTTATTGCACAAAATGTTATATTATATATAGATGTGGCGCAATCCATATCACGTTGAAACAGCATTTTTTGTACGATCACCGAAGTTAAGCACCATCAAGCCGGGTCAGTACCTAGATGGGCGACCGCTTGGGAATGCGAGGTGCTGTAAGGTTGGATGTGTAGGTGGTGCAATGGATAATGGCTGTGAAGTGTTAATCGGACAGTCGAGTTCCAATTCCTGTTGGATTCGTTATATTCATTTACGGGCAGATAACCTTGGGAAAGGTATGAATCCACAACTTCTCCCTCAGTTATGGGTAAATTAGTAAGACTTGTACAACTAAAGCATTATTATATCTCCCAAATTCTTACAATCTAAAAATATTTTCTGGTTTTAAGTAACCTGAAATGAGTAGAAAACGTATCAATCAATCAATAAAAATAAAAAAATAAAATAGCTGATATGGACTTCGAGAGATGTGAAATAGAGATAATTTTGTTAATAGGGGAATTGAACTTTGTTCGCAGGTAAGGTCTTCTGCGGCTGAGTGATTCTAACAGAACGCCATGGCAATTTCTCATGCAAGTTCGAACTCTGCCAAAAGACATGATTTCTTTAAGATTTTCGAATGCACAGACATGTAGACGTTGTTTTATACTGTTAAAAAGACCCCCAACCCCTACTGTATCTATAAAATATATCGTTTGAAATTATAAGAAATAATGTCCTGATTATAAATAAAAATCCATTAATCCTATATACATACATACATACATACACACACACGCACACACACACACACACATATATATATATATATATATATATATATTAATCATTTCACACTAAGCAAGACAATAAAGTCGCTAGGATGCAAGTGGTTACCGAGTGTTATACAATATGAGAAAAACTATAATTAAGGTGTTATGTGAATAAAAGAACAAGAAGACAGAAGATAAATATTGATATTTAAATTTTTGAAGATCAAAGTTGACCGGCAAGCAAGAAGCCGGAAGAGAGTTTCACAGGCGAAAAGTGCAAGAGAAGAAACTGTTAGCATAGAACTTAAGGTTACATTAAACCAATTCAGCTGTAAAATACGAGACCTTGAATATAATAAATATATTAAATATAATACTGCATTTAAATTCATAGGGTCATCAGAACAATTATCATGAAAGTATTTACAGAAAAGGCACAGAGAAGCTACGCCAATGCACTGAGAAAGTGACTGAAACCAAGATGCCAGGTCAGGACCAATAGCATTGCGGATTCTTCTTTGTATTTTATCAAGTATCTTTAAATACATAGTAGAAGCACCAGACCAGACCAGACCAGACCAGACCAGACCAGACCAGACAGCAATATTCACTGTATGATATAATGATACACTTATAAATACGTAAGATAGATCCTAGCGATATATATATATATATATATATATATATATATATATATATATATATATATATATATATATATATATATATATATATATTAAATTATATACACAATATTTAGGGGAAAGTGCTCAATATCAGTAATAGAGCCAATCGGATATGAGTTTAGACCCTAGGTTTCATGCTTTTTAGATCATCAAACAGAGTTTTTCTGACGATCGCAAACTCATATCCAATACAACTATATATATATATATATATATATTAAGAAATGGACAAAGTCCGACAATTTATTTATTAAAGACCTTTTTTATGTTTAACGTTCTTTTTTTTTTAGATATAGATTTATAAATGCTCTGTTTATAATAAACAGTATTAAATATCATTTATTATAAACAGAGCATTTATTTTAAATACTTGTATCTATAAAAAAAGAACGTTAAACATAAAATGTCTTTATATATATATATATATATATATATATATATATATATATATATATATATATATATACGTCACATTCGACGGTAGAGTCGAATATATATATATATATTTAACGTATCAGGGTGAAGCAGATCAGTTCCTAGGAACCGACAGCTCGTCACCAGCACATGTTTTTATAGTGGTGAAGGTTTTGTGTAGAACCGTCCACACTTTTTGAATCGCCGAATACAGGGACCTGGTGCACTACGTGCCACAAGGTCCCCAAACGACATTTTTGAATTCAGAGTTGTCCTTCTCTTAGACCAGCTGCCATCCAAGGCTACAGAAATTGGTCTGCGATCTACCCATAGCTGGAGGAAGAAGGGGTTTATAACTTTTCCAAGGGTATTAGCACGTAAGTGAATGTAATGGATTCGACTGAAATTGAACTCGGCTCTCCGATGATTCCTTAATCCAAGCCGATATCGTGCCTTCTCATTTATATATATATATATATATATATATATATATATATATATATATATATATATATATATATATATATATATATATATATATATAAAGAAAGAACAGTAAGATATATAATCCGATGTTCCTATAGATATTTTATTTTTACAAAATAGTGCTCAATGTAAATTTACAAAGCATTAATATTATAAATTAATTGATTTAAAATATGGTTTTTCCGCTACACAGTTCTAACCATTCTTTGAAACATTTTTAAAACATGGTTAGAACTGTGTAGCGGAAAAAACATATTTTAAATCAATTAATTTATAATATATATATATATATATTAGTCACAAAATCATATCGGGATTATTAGTATGTGATCCCAAACCTAAGCACGTCGTTTTAACTGGCCGTACAAGTGTTTTCCTTTTGTTTAAATCCAGTGACATTACTGGCCACTCTATGTGTGGGAAAACGGACTCTTGGTGACGTGCGGTCACGATGCGAACACAATGAATTGAATTATCTTAGATGAAGATGAAGTTTGCACCATGAAGGCACCATTGAATCACGAGAATGGGGTCAATAATATCCTGCCGATAAGACAGTTCAGTCAGGGTTCCATCAACAATGCTTAGTTTTCCGGTTGTTGGATATTCTTCCCCGGAAATTTACGCCATCAATTCCAGGTCGATGGTTTTGGTCATATTCTTCTTCTGTGGACCGTGTCCCTTCAGGACATAGGCAATCATCGCCCTCCAGAACCCCCTATCCCTTGTAACTCTTAGAAATACTTATCCCTTTGTCATACCTCCCAGTCCCGTTCCGCCGTCTATTCATACACGGTCGTCATGTAGTTGATCCGCTGAAATTCTCTTGAAACTCCTAGACAGTAAAGGAAAGCGAGAAGGACTAAACATCAAATGCAAGAGGACAGAATGCATGGTTGATAGTAAAAGGATGAGCCTAAAATGCAAATTACAAATCAGAGATACCAAAATCAAACAAGTACAAAAATTTACATATCTGGGAAGTGTTTTAACAGAGGACGGAAAATGTGATACTGAAATCCGAAGGCACAATGGCATAGCCAAAGATGCCTTCCAAAAGCTAAGCAGAGTACTAAGAAACATGAAAACTTCGTTGGAAACAAAGAAAAAAAGTTCCAAATTGTTAACATATATCTGTCCTATATGGCAGTGAATGCTGGACAATCTCTTTAAAGATGAAGAAGAGACTTGAATCAACAGAAATGTGGTTCTACAGAAGGATGTTGAGGATACCATAAACCGAACATGTGAGAAACAAACAGGTTTTAGCGAAAATGGAAACAAAAAGAAAAAATAATAGGTTGAATTTGGAAGCAAGCGAGGACGGTAACGCAAAAGTTGGACAGACAACGTCAAAGCATGGACGGACATGACAATGTCGGAACTCCTGCGAGCCACCGCCAACAGATCATCCTGGAGGAGGTTGTCTTATGATCCCACCGACGAATGAAACAATCTAGGGACTGTTGATGACGGGACTTAGTATTTGGTACACTTATTAGATATATATTTCATACGCACTTCAAAATACGGACTCCTCTGATGAAAGTTTTTTTTATTTAACATGGATTGTTTCTTTTGCATAATAATCTCTACTGGAATGTTGCGTCTTTCCTTGTAGTGAGTGCTATATAGATATTATCTACTAATATCCGTTTTATATTGATAGTTGCATTTTTGGACGTTTTTCATGTGATGATCGACAAGTTTCGACGGCAACAAAAGTTCATTTAAACAAGTTTTATTAAATTCAACTGAGAAAGCGTGTCTCTTAAATCTTTATTGCATTTTCCCAGTTTTCGAATAAATTGTTGCACATCAAGATCAAAATTGTTGATAAATTGTTCAAAGTTCATGTTCTTGTTCTGAGCTCTTTTTCTCTTTCTCTCTCTCGCTCACAAATACACACACACGCGCAAACACACTTGTCTGCCTGTGTTACTCGCTTTATATAGTAAGCAAATGAATGACAAGATTGAAAAAACTTATCAGTGACAGGTTGCCTTCCTCAAAAGAAATTTTTCAGGTGACGTTTTTGTTAATGGAATCAAACAAAAAAAAAAAAAAGAAAAAAGAAAAAAAGTAGTATGTCAATGTATTTTACTAGGCAAATCATCAAATCAATATAATCATTTTTATTTTAATTTTATTGATAATGGTTCATCTTATATATATATATATATATATATATATATATATATATATATATATAGAGAGAGAGAGAGAGAGATAGATAGATAGATACACCTAGTTAGACAGTTTGTTTAGAAATTTAAACGGATCGTCAGGGAAAGTTTGGCCAAATTCTCCCTGACGATCCGTTTAGGTGAAACCTAGGTAGGTTTGTCTGGCTCACTAGGTGTATCTAGGTCTGCTCTACGGTTGTATTGAGCTCTTTTGTTAGTTAGTTGTTACCGTATCGGGTTTTTTTCTTTGGGCTTCAGACCTGCATCTGTGCGATTTTTTTTGTCGGCAGAAGTTCATGTTTGTAGCTCTTTTTTTTTTAAAACCTTTTTCCCTCAAGATTGATTTAGCAAATCAAAAATTCGAGGGTTTTTCGAAACGAGTCTAGTTATCTACATATATATATATATATATATATATATATATATCACATTGAGTGCTGGTGCTAATAAAATAGTGGTCGAGGTATCATAACACAGCTATAATTTATATTAATAATGAATATACATTTTTCCACACCGATAGCCAACTCATGCCCAACGCAATTATCAGATGGTGATTTAAAAAGTTTTCAATCAGCACCTAACGATTGCCTTGTGCATGAATTTCAGAATTGTGCTAATAGTGAGAATATATA